AAGTAACATTGCGTTATTCATAGGTGAGGGTAAATTTTCTAAATCTTGATCTTGGTGGTGATCCACAATCATTCATTTATCAAAATTCACAGAATTGTATTCTAAAGCAGGTGATTTCTTTTGTATCCAAAATTTGACATTTTTATGTAAGCTTTTCCAAATATTCAGAATATAAACCATGATCTTTTATAAAGAATATATACATAATTCCCCATTATAGTAACAAGTAGCTCTTTCAAATAGTATAAATTCTGTTAGAAATATTTTATAGTCATTACTCAGTTTAAGTTTTATCAACTTTTTGTTAATATTGTTCATATATTTTCCTGTTTATTTATTTTAAATTACATTTTTATTAGAGTACTTTTAAATTTTTTTTAAATATATGTTTTTTAGATGGACACAATGCCTTTATTTTATTCATTTTTATTTTTATGTGGTGCTGAGTATGAACTCAGTGCCTCAAGCGGGCTAGGAAAGAGCTTTACCACTGAGCCACAATACCAGCCCTTTTTAAAATTTTTGTGTCCTGCTAGAGTTTGAACCTATGGTTTCACAATTGTTCAGTTGCTTGGCAAATACCCTACAACTTTAGCCTAAGTATTGTTATCTATCTACTTGTACATCAACTTATAATTTTTTATGTACATAATTAAAGATATTTATAGAACAACATTCAACTAAAATAAGTTGTTAATAGTGAAATTCAATATACTATCTCTTTTTTGGAACCAGGGATTGAACCCAGGGGTGCCTAACCACTGAGCTGTATCTCCAGTTCTCTTTAATTTTTATTTTGAGGCAGGGTCTTGCTAAGTTGCTTAGGGCCCTGCTATGTTACTGAGGCTGATCTCAAACTTGCAATCTTCCTGCCTCAGACTCCTGAGCTGCTAGGATGATAGCTCTCATTTTAGATTATTTTTAATCATTTACATTATCTATAATGGTCATGTATTCTTTTTTATTGAGGTTTGTTTTTGTTTTATTTTTTTTAAACAAAAAAACTTCAACAAAAGCGAGAGATGGTTAAAATGTTCATTTAGTAAGAATGATATAGATATCAGAATTGTTCTAAAATGTTTTCTAAGAGCACCATGACACTGCAATGACCTGAAAGACAATTGTGGTCTTGTAGGATATAAAGTGATGAACTACTTCTCAATTACTAATGACAAGATAATAATGTCCTCTCAGCTCAGTCCCCGCAATATAGATTCAGCTTCTAATGGACCATTATAAGGATATCAAAGTTGTCATGCTTTCAAAATCATAACTCCTAGGTTGTTTAAGTAATTTGGCAAATAGCATCTTTCTTCAATCTTTGGTGTCTTTTAAAGGTCAGATATCAAGCCTTCATAAATATTGATGAACCTGAACAGATTGTGTTCAAATGGTGTGCACTTTTTTTCGTAGACAGGCCATCTCTTTCCTCTTTTATTGCAGTTAAGTCTCTCAGGATCGTGGGTTAAACATACATCAACTTAAGACTCAAACCCAAAGAAGTAAAAACACAAAAGAGTAGTAAAAAAATGTGTTTTTATTTTCCCGTATACTTCATTAAAAAAGGTACAGTTTTATTAGTAGTACATTAATTAACTGAAAGAATGAAGTGACAAGTTTTTGTCATAGATATTAATTTACATTTTACAAACATCCACCAAAACAATTAAAAATGAAATAAATATATTTACATTTTGTATTTCTGATATTTCCATTGCATTTTAATATGTATAAAATATATAATATTTTATTTATCTTTAAAAGTAAATTATAATGTGCAAAGAAGTGACATGATGATTTGAAAGTAGTAGGTAATAAGAATAAATCATAAACATCAATTTTAGAGGTATGGATAAAGCGATTCCTTAAGGAGAGCTCATGAATACAGCATTAATAATAGTAGCAAAAATGTTTATTCTTAATACTGGAACATCGACACTTACCTTAAAAAGTTAAGCACAAGATTGTCCTTGTGCTTTTAAAGCTTCTCACACACTGCTGATTTCTAGCAGTAATTCTAAATTATTGTTAGGATTATTACTTTTCCTCCATAATAAATCAGGCTTCCCTTACATCCAGCATTCAACAGAGACAAAGTTTATGAACAAGCTTTGTCACTGTAAATGAGAGAAATGTGGATCCATAAAATAATGCACCCAAAGGAAAATTGCTCTGCTTGCATGAAGATGCTCTCTCTGCTTGCTAATATGGACCTGGCCTTTGTTGCCAAGGAAATGAGTTTTGTCTTGCTGAATGACAGTTTTATGAGTGAAGATTTTAAAACAAGAAGTTGGCACATGCCTGAAATATGGGGAAGAAATGCCTAGCTGAATGTTCTCCCTTTAAAACTAAGGTTGAATGGAAAAAAAAAAAAAAAACATTGTGGCAAGTATTGGGGAATACTTTACGTTTATATTATCTGTTATAATATTTTAAAATAAATACTTGTTGCAATATAACAAATTTAAAGCATACCTGATTTAATGATCTGATTGGTTATTTTTTCATCAGGCATAAGACATTATTATTTTAGTTAACGATTTTCAAATGATTTTGAACTCCCTTCTTTGACCTATGCACCTGTAATAGTCTCCTTTAAGCTTGTACTACGTCATACACTGCAATGAACCATTTAGAGATTACCCTGAACACGCACACACCCACACTCGAGCCCATAACACACGTGCACACACAAACATACCTACATATACCAAGGCACTGGAGGGGTTCACACATAATGAAGCCTTCTATTGTTAAAATTTGGCCAATGTACAAACCAGGTGTTATAAATGAATCTCATGCATCTAAGCCTAAATTTCATGAGACATAGAAATTTGTATTTTTGTTCAGCTTTCTCAGTCAAGTTGTCCAAGTCATAATAAATAACAATAGTTAATCACACTGAAAATAAAACATGAAATACCAATTGCCAAATTAATGAAAATCAGAATAGTATTTTCTTATTGGTGGCTATTTCATGATTAGTCATATTAAATGGCAATTTAGGCCTTTTTTTATTAATAGTGTCAAAACTAACAACAATAAAGATATGGAATAAATTTTAATTCAAAGTACAATTTACAATGTGACTTAAAGCATATTAAGTCAATATATACTAAACATATGCTTTTAATTTAATTTGTGGTCAGCATTTTATCTCGTATATATGGTATACATATGCACACACATATACACAGTTATATGTGTGTGCATGTGTGCTAATGGTGGACAAAAACAAAACTCCTATATATTTCAGTGTACAACTTGCCTATCATCATCTATATGAGCACGAGATAGATTTTCCTGACACAACAAAGGATATTTACTTATTTTTTTGCATTTTAAAATGGGATTTTTATAAAAATTTGAAATGATTCTTACTTATTCTATAACTCATGTAAAGTTTAAAAAATTGCTTTTCTTATTTTTCTTTTTAGATGACCAGCGCATTTCCTGTGGCATCAACACCTGATATTCCTGCTGTGGGCACACTGGGGTCACCTCAATATGAGGCATATTGCAATTTAATTCTAGTTAGTAGCAGAAGTTCTATTGTGAGCCATCTGCCACTGCTTAGAAACTGAAGATGGACACTTCTCTCTACTTTTCCCCGGGCTTCAAATTTTATTATGACTATTGTATTTGATCAATATATGAGCAGTAAATCCAATGTGCTATCCTCATTGTAGATATTAATTCAGTTTTATGGTCAAAATAAATTCTATTAAGACATTATTATATTTATCACAGTTCTTTTGATAAACTATCTTAGATCTAAGTTAACTTTTTCTCATATCCAATTATCCACCTTCACTTTTTCTTTTCCATTTAATATATTTAAGAATTATCAGATACAAAGTTAATTAATAAATTTCTAATGACACTGAAAACAGTGATGACTTTTTTTAATTCAATGGATGTTTGTCCTTTAAACAATTGTTTGTCTCATTCCTGAGTGACACATTTTCTCCTATTAAAAATAAAAAAAAAGAAAAGTAAACCATTTTTTTAGATTCTTGGTAATTTTAAGAGGAAACATTAAGTGTTTCATAGGGTACAGGTGTGTTAATTAAAAATTTAATTTTTAACTATCAAATAAGCAGCTTATAGTTTAAAAGCAGGCGTCAATAAAGCTATAGTGAAGGACAGGGAATGTTTTTCACTTTCCACAACTGGACTCTTGAGTTGTGGGTGTATACCTCCAATGCTTTCAAATTTTCAGCTCTGCACATTTAAAATTCTAAAACAAGACAACCAAAATAACCTGCGTAATTTCATGACATAGATATAAATTTTAAATTTAATTTTCAAATCTCACCTTGTGTTCTCATAAAATATTGCTCCAATGGAAAACTATTGTATAGCTAACACAGTTAATAGCTTTGAGACTGCTTTGTAAGGATTTTTTCAGTCCATGATTGGTAGAGTTAGGGTTACAAAGAATTTCTCTTACATCATATTTGTTGATATTATTTTCTCTACAAAAGTTCTTAGGGTCACTGAAAATTTATGAAACTGTAATTTGATAATAAATCTCCTTAGGTAAAATATAAATCTGTTTAAAATGAAGGAACGAACAAAGAGATTCACAAATGTTTTCATCATACATAATCAAATTAATACTTTTTGGCATATTTGGTGGATACTGGCAAATTTATAAAACATTTTTAATAACATTGATTCGAGGGAGACACAGTTCATTTCACATTGTGCCTGTCATAGGTCAATGTAATTATCCTTATGCAGTTCTTGAGGATATTTTACAACAAGATAAAGAAAATCAGAGTGCCAGTGCAGAATCGTGGAGGGAGAATACAAGGAGAAATTTACATTAGCAAATTAAAGTGCTTCTCTCTTTGATGATTTTTTTTTTTTTGCATGCTCCTTGCTGTCATTTTTGTTTTTTAGCCTCTTTACACTCATAATACAATGACAGGGCAAGGGGTTCATGATCTGGCCCAATATGTATTTGTCATACAAAATAATCTAAAATACAGAAATAACCATTTAATTGTTATTTTTATTTATAGGTAGCTTACAACTTTTTTATATTATTTACATACATCTTCATACCATTCATTTCTTGATCTTCACATTTGGTGAAAGCAGTATGTGGATACACATCAACCAAGTGAGAACAGGCTGTCTTGTTCATCTAGGATTATTTACACATGCCTTCCAGAATAGAAATGCATTTGAGATGAGTCATGACCATCTTTTTTTTTCTGCTGAAACTTCAATCTGATTCCATTGTTGACTTGGTGATATCATGGTCTCTCCAGGGAGTAAAATGATGAATATGTTTAGTCTGTTTATCTAGTTGGGGTAACTGTCAGTTTGGAAATCAGTATGTCAAGTTGTGTACTTTGCTTTGCTTGTAGTAGCAGAGCTGGCAGCAGCAGAAGCAGTAGCCTGATTGCCTAAAAATAGAGGGTCCAAACAAGCTACTTTGGCAGCAAAGAATGAATGAATGCAGTGAAGAACAGCAAATAAATTTGAAAATTCCAGCTCCTAAAAGGGAAAGAGAAATAAAAGAGCTAAAACGGAAATAAAATTCATTGAAAAATTGGGAAAATTAGGCATTTTTCAATTGCAATAAAAATTCCTTGAATCAATAATATTTTATGCATGAAAGGTAATTTATAATGTAGATATTTTTGGTCAGTATGTAATATCCTATTATAGATATATTGAAAACATTGTGGGAAAAAGTTGGGAAGATTAAGTATTCTCATCACCCATGTATGTAATTTCAGGATTGATAAACACTGAATAGAAATATATCTCACAAGGTTGGGTTTTACTCTTCATAATAGATTTTAAAAGATGATATCAGGGGCGGGGATGTGGCTCAAGTGGTAACGCACTCGCCTGGCATACACAGGGCAGGGCGCTGGGTTCAATCCTTAGCACCACATTAAAATAAAATAAAGATGTTGTGTCCACCAAAAACTAAAAAATAAATATTAAAAAATTCTCTCTCTTTAAAAAAATGTGATATCATAAATATTTTTGTGACAAACCAACATTAGTCTCATAAATATATTTTAATTCCAAGAGGTTTGAGAGGTTTGAGAGAAGACTAGTACATTTATACGCTTAATAAAGTTAATATGAATGAAGCACTTACCACAATAAAGATAACTAATGGATAATAAACCATGAAATTATGGATAAATTTTCTGTTTTTTCATTATATACTCTTAATAAAGGATGCACAATTACAATTCATTCACCCAATACTTATAGTGTTTGTAATTTATAGTATGTGGCAGTAGAAAATAATACAAAATAGGGAGTCAATTAGAAATCATTATAGCATCTCTTATGTAACATAGAGTTATTTAAATAAAACAATTCACCCAGAAATTTTTTTCATGTCATTAAATAGAAGCTAAGAAAAGCATAGTGTGTATTCATAGACCTGCAAGATGTTGCAGATAAAACTATGTTGCCTTAGTAATTCCTTTCAGACCTTCAGGATTTCTTAGCTAGTGGCCTATGGCAAATAGTGATTTATTTTAGAAAATAGCCAAGACTATTTATTTAACTATTTTGATTGTCTAAAATTCTTCCATCAAAAATCATTTTACTAACTCCACCATAATTTAGGAGCTTTTTTTCATTTATCCACTCCAGGAGTACGGATGATGCTATTTGTAACCTGAAAGGTTTCCTCTTGCCTTTACTCACTCACCCAGGAATCCCTCCACTCACACTGTCATTCTTTGTGCAGCCAGCTTAATTCCCAACGGATAGATACTTTCTGTGTCAACCCATTCTAAGTTCACCTGATATAAAAAATGGTTGAAAAGTCTTGGGACATGGAAGATAACCTTAGAACACGCAATTCATTCTAGGTGAGGAGGAGAATGTTGTTAAATGTTACAACTAGGCAAAAGTACTGTAACAAATAACATTTTTTTCAAAGTCATTCTATTCCATCTTTATTAAATTGGAGAATATACTTTGTTTACCAAAAAATCCCAGATGTCCAAATATCAAGGCTTTTTTTTACATTAAAATTAAGGTTTTTAATTTTTCTTTTCTTGTCAATTAGTTATCAATAACTTAATGTTCATTGAGACTTTGAATTTTTTACACCATTCTTGGGAGGATGGTCGACAAAAAACAAACAAGTAATTAGAAGATAAAGCAAGAGATTTAGAGTTGGCCTTGGATCCAGTGCCAACTCATCTTTCCTCTGTCTCAGTAGCCAGCTTGGGCAAGTGCACGCTTTCCTAGGGCTTCAGTGATCACCTCCAGGCAAATCTATAACAGTGAGTTACTACTCTTTTACTCATTTCTAGTGAATTTTAAAGCTACATTTCTGTCCATCTGTGAAATATCCACAGAGGGTTTCCACAAAGTTATGCACTATAAACTTTCAATTAGTTTTTTTAAAAAAAATCTTGATCAACTCTGTGAATCTCATTAGGTAAAAGCTAGCTCCAAATTTTAAGTGCTCATTCATCCATTCATTCAAGACATGTTTTCAGAGAGCTTCCTACACATTCATTACTTTCTTTTGATGAAAAATATAGCAGCGAACAAAACAGAAAACAAACAAAGAAACAAAACAAAACAGATGGGAGTTAGCATTCTTGTGATGGGAGAAAAAAATAGGGAAATAAATAAATATCATATAATTAAGCATGCATCTGGAGACTAACATGCTAAGTGAAATAAGCCAGTCCCCAAAACACCAAAGGTCAAGTGTTTTCGCTGTTACGAGGAAGCTAAATCACAATAAAGGGAGAGGGAAGAAGAAAAAAGAAATTCAGTATATTAGAAAAAAGGTAATGAGGGAAGAGGGATAGGAATTAGAAAGAGAGTAAAATGAATCGGACATAATTTTCCTATGTACATATATAAAAATACCTAGGTGAATTCCACCATCAAGCCCACCCGCAAGAATGGCGATCTAATTAGAATAAGATATATTTCATGCTTATATAATTTTATCAAAATGGATTCTATTCTCATGTATACCTAAAAAACAAATTAATATAACATCAGAATGTGCTATGTTCAGTCAAGGAAATAAGGCAGGACATTGAGTAAATATTATGTTAGGGGCCATGGGACAAGAAAACCACAATGTCATGTGAGCAAAACCTGAAGGAAGAAATAAAAAGAATGAAACATTTTGATATTTCTCAGAAAATATTCTAGGCAGAAGAAATATGATTTCAAAGATCCTGAGGTAGATACATTCTATTCTAGGAGAGCTTAAGGAAAAACAAGGGTCACTATAGGTAGAATGCAGTAGTTAGTGAGTAATAGGTAGGAATAAAATTCAAAGGAAGAAAGAGGAGAGGAAGAGGAGAAATATTTTGAATTTATGGTGGGTTATCACAGTATTAAAGAATTTTGACTTAAAAATGTTTTACTTAATGATTTATTAATTTCAGTATAAATTTGGAAGAATCTGTATCAGTTTCAGTTCTTTTTATGGTTTTAGAATGTATCCCCGAAGAATATAAGGGTAGACTATTGCATACTAATTTCCCAAACCTTTGAGAAAGATTCTTGATTCTGCACAAAGATCCATTTCTCTGCTCTATTTAAGGAAAAAGACTTCTCCAAAGGGATAGTTTCTAGTCTCTACTTCCTTTCCTAAATCTTTCAAGAACTCATTCCTATGAATATTTTGCTTCTTCTTCTTCACAAAAAAATTATATCATAAAGTATAATTTAAAAATCTGTTAAGAGTAACAACATGTAAGGCAGAGGATACATGTGATATAAGGAAGATGAGTTAATTTGTGATGAATAGATTTGCTTTTTAATAAAAATTCTAAATAATTTCTAGGTATTGATTTAGGCATATTATCGGTAATTTTCTTACTCCTCAGAAAATTCTAATGACTTTTTGAGTCCACTGTAAGGACAACCAACAGTATCATTCAGTGACTCCAATAATTTAGTCACCATCTACATTTTCACACCTTCTTCACACAGTTTCACAGTCATAAAACAATCAGAGAATAATTAAAGTATAAATCAACTCTTCTAATAGTGTAAACAGAACATTAAAATCATTGGGAAATTTACATTTTATCAATTCCTTGACTAATAACACTATTATTTTTCCCTTCTGACTTTTGATTTCAAGACTTTCTTTTCCCTATCACAAGCTTCTCTGTCATTTCCTTTATGATCCTCATCCCTTATTCAAGGTCAATGTATTTTCAATGTTCTTCATTAATTCACAGTCAATACACACATACAAAAATCTCCATCACCCCCCCCCACACACACACACCCACCCACCACACACACACACACATTGCTTCTTTCTTCTGCATGCCACAAGTCACAGTCAAATTTACCTATGCCATTAATGTGTAAGTTAATATGATATCTATCTTGACAACCCCCTTATATATCAATCATTTTTTCCCCACAATACTCGCATGAAAATAAAATTTACATGCTATAAAATTCACCTATTTGAATCCTTGGAAAACTGAGAATGGAACTACCATTTGACCCAGCTATCCCATTCCTCAGTCTATACCCAAAGGACTTAAAAACAGCATAACATATAGACACACCCACATCAATGTTTATCAATGCTATAGCAGCACAATTAACAATAGCTAAACTGTGGAACAACCTAGATGCCCTTCAGTAGATGAATGGATAAAGAAAATTTGGTATATATACACAATGGAATGCGATTCAGCATTAAAAGAGAATAAAATTATGGCATTTTCAGGTAAACAGATGGAGCTGGAGAATATAATGCTAAGTGAAATTAACCAACCCCCCCACCCCAAACACAAATGCCAAATGATTACTCTGATTTAAGAATGCTGATCCATAATATGCTGTTTGGAGGGGGCATGGGAGGATTATATGAACTCTAGATATGGCAAAGGGGAAAAGGAGAGGTAGAGAAAGAGAGCGGTCATAGGGGTAGAAAAGACAGTGGAACAGCTATGGTCATCATTATCCTAAATACGTGTATGAAGACAAGAAGGATGTGACTCTAGTTTATGTACAACCAGAGATATAAAAAATTATGCTTTATATGTGTAATATGAATTGTAATGCATTCTGTTGTCATATATAACAAATTAAAATTTTAAAAAATTAAAAAAATTAATAAAAAAAAACAGAACAGAAGAAAAAATATTTACCTATTTGAAACATTTCATGGGTTTCAGTATATTTACATAGTTGCGTAAACATCACCATTATCAAACGTCAGAAATTTTGTATGATTCAAAAATATCTTATTGTAAATCACACTCCATTTCCCTTGTTTCTAGTTCCTGATAACCATAAATATCTTTATCTATAGATCACCTTGTTCTGGACATAAATAATTTCATACAAATAAGATCTTTGGTGATTGCCTAGATTTATTTAACATGATCTATTTCAAGGTTCATCTATGTAGTAACAGGCACTATTACTTCAGTTCTAATTATTGCTGAAAAATATACCCTTATGTAATATAGCTCATTTTTTCCTCCCTTCATCATTTTTTGAATATTTAG